TCAGGTGAGTGGAGCAGCCTTGTACTGTCTCTAGATATGCAAATATCAAATGTCTTTAGAGGTGCAGGGAGTGATATTGTTTCAGCTTTACTTAGAAATCCCGTTAACAAGAATCTCAGCTCAGCAGTCAGATTGGGTAGGTATGAGAAAAGGATAAATTTTGTGAATAGAATGTGGGAATAATTATGATAGGTAAAATCAGATATATAAACCAATTTATAATACATTAATAAATTCCCAGTAATTTGTAGTAATGTTAGATACAAATCTTTGTATTGTCATTAGTGTTAGTGCACTATTGTCATTAGTGTTAGTGCACAGTGATGAAGGAGATGGGGATAGCTTTGTGAAGGCATTCTAAAGAACAGCTTGGATGTTCATGTGTTGTTTTAAATTGTTACAATAAATGGTGTTGATGTCTGGTCCTGTACACCATTTAGAATCTAGGCAGAGGAAATGAAGTGCTGGTTCTTTTAAAATACAGTTTTCTGTTTCTCTTCCCATTTGGATTGGGTGTGGAGAAGTGTGTAGTACAGTTTTTTTACATATATTACTGGAAAATTTAGTGTCTTTTGCTGTTTACTGTAAAAATGAAAAATGGGGAAGTGTTATGCTGCAGAGACTTGAGTGTGCTTGATGTTGACTTGCTTCTGTTACTATTTCTTTATTGTTTGGGAGTGAAGTAAGAGGATGCTTAAAAAAGGAACAAAGCCCTCATGTTGCATTCCAGGCTGTCTTGTGATCATTCCTTCCACAGCCAAAAATAAGTTGCTTTGAACCTATTATTGTACTTACGGAACTCTGGTTATAAATCTTGCAGCATGTAAGTATATGCTAACGTAAATCCAGCTCTTGCACGTCACATGCAGGAATTGCATTTCAGGTTCTTCATTAAAGCGTGGGCAGAATTCAGCCTGTTCCTTGACATTAGTTGTTTGGCTGATGATATAGGCAGATACCAGCATCTCTCGAGGCGGAATGCTGCATATCCATTGAACACAGTGCATGTGAACCATGACTGCAGATGGGAGGTTTGTGAAGTTTTTGCACCTTTGCCATCTGTTTTCTTAAGTTGCTCAAGAAATTCTATAGTGGATTCAATAAATTGTTCTAGTCACTTACAAAATAAATTCTGTCTAGCGATTTTTAGCATATGATATCCCATTCTTTCCTTTCCTCATGTCAGATAGTCCATCATCAGTTTATATTTTGGGCTTTACTGAAGTTAGCACATTTGAAGTAGTTCTGTGCCTGAGAACCTGATTTGCTCTTTGCTGGCAAAGCTGTGTAATGCTTTTCCTTCTCCCAGTTGCAAACTCTGCCTCTCATTTTTTATTCTTAAAGTGAATGTAGTAATAGTTTAAGTGCTCAAAAGATAAATACTGCCAATTATTCCATATCATAAACTGGAAGATGTATTGAGGAAAAAATTGGATGTTTTTATAACGTCCTGTCTATTCTTCAGAAGTCACACCTGAATATAAAACAAAGCTCAGTGCCACCAGAAGTAGGGTAACTTTTCTGAAATACACATGTAATTCCAACTAACATCCAGTCTCCAGCAGTGGTTTGTACTCTGGGATTTGCTTTTTCTGGTTTTGCTTTGTTATCTCTGACCCTGTGAGGGGTTCCTGGAGGAGAGGGAAGAGTTATACATTGATTTGCAGTAACTGAGTCTAACATAATTTGAATAATGGAAAAAATATTGATACCTTGTAGACAAAGCTGAAGCTGTGTTTAGGATTTAAAGCAGGTTTGTTTAGGAGAAGATTTCTCTGTATTCTTCTGTTTGATAGCAAAGAAAACTTCAAAGTTAGCTTTGAAGCTTCTGTATTTTTGAGAGGAGTGAGACTTGATTTGGTTTGACACTTTTCATGAGTAGTTAAGTGGTTGTTGAAATGTATGAAAGATCATCTCTTGAGGTTCAGTCCACATGGGACTGTGTTAGTCTGGCAGACTACCTAAGAGCATCAGCAGCAAAGGGATAATAATGGTGGTGGTTTTTAAAGCTCTCACACAAACCTAACTGCAGTGTTGTCAGAGTTAACCTTTCTCTTTCTGTTTCCCCTTCAGGCTTATGCTTGAATAGGGTGCTGGGGGCACCTCTGGGACTTTTTGTCCTGGTTGCCCAATCTGGGAGTTAGCTTGAGCTTCTCACAAAGGTGGATTTGAACTGATGCTGGTCTGGTCTGGCTGAGTTGGAAACACAGGTGCCTTTCTGCCCTGGACCGTGCAGTCGCAGTGTCTCTGGGTACCACGACAGCTGGGTTTGTGCAGTACATGGGAATGAGAGCCATTAGTTGTTTGTTTTGGTTTTTGTTTTGTTTGTTTTTTTTCCCCAAAGATTATTATTTTTATTTTACTATAACTGCACAATCTCTTCACTTGAGGTAGTTTTGCTTTAGGCAGATGAAAGCCCTAAAAGCTCATTGCACAAGCCTTGGAAAACAGTAGCTTTCACTTTCACTGTTTCTCAGCTTCTATCCCCCTCCACCCTCCTCAGTTATTTGATGTGTGAAGCTGTCAACAGCCAAACTATTAGAAGTTATTATGCTGATAATTTGCTTTGTGCCATACAGTCAGGTTCTACCTTTTTACCATGTGAACCCAATTAATTCAGCATAATCACAGGTAAAACAGTGTTACCATTAGAAGAGCCAGTGCTAAAAGGCTTTTATAGATAGGTTCTCTTCAGGGTTTCAGAAGAAAAGAAACCTGTTTGCTTTTTGTACATTGGTTGTGTTTTGTGACAGTGACCTGAATTTAAAATGAAAGATTCTAGTCAGACCTGTAATTGAATGCTGTGGAATACCAGAAATTTCATTTCGTTAGAGTTCTTGACAGAAGGAATGAGTAAATACTTGTCTTCAGGCATCTGGCTTTACTTGAAATAAACCATAATACTTGTATGTACAACAGTACGCTTGGTTTTCAGCATTTGTTTGGACATTTTGGACATCAACTAGAGCTTTATTTCTTTTTCTTTTTTTTTTTTTTTACAGTACTTTTCTTGAAAATAAATTAGGAGGAAAAAATGCAGGTTTTTGCACCTCTGCTGCTTAATTTTGCAGAATCAGTATTTCCACAGGTGTTAATCCTTGATTTTACTGTGCTGCCAGATGTAGTCTACTTTTCTGGTTTCATGCTGACTTTGACATTGCTAAAAGTGTGACAAATACGCATTCTCCAGATGTATATATAGAGGTGTTTAATTTTTGTAAGATTGTCTTAGATTAAGAAAATACTATTTGAATATTTTTAATTCTTTGAAGTTTGGTAGGATTTGAAATCCACGTATTAGAGAACCTCTCCTATCCCTTTTTAGTAGCTTGTTTTTGACAACAATTTTTAAATCAGGGATCTCATTTGACAATATCACAAAGATGGCTGTGACTGTAAGATGCAAAATTCTGACACAGAGTAAGTTCACTGTCAGTGTAGATTTGTTAAAATTTTGATCAGTTTATTCTGTATTGACAGAATTTATCCTGGACCAGGTACCACGTGTCTGTGCCAGTCTCACCGTGCACCAGTTGTTGCTCCACAGGCAACGTATCATGTGCTTGGGGCAATTTGACAGAAATGAGAGTATGTGCTTGGACGGAGCAAAATTTCTGCACACATGCACATGTCCTATGTTAACAATCATGGAACTGTGACCTAATCCTTTTGTCCTTAATATTTTAGAACTAAAACCAAGGAATGCATAAAAAGCAGTACTTTTTTTGCCTGCTGTGCAACACTTTATGACACTGTGGCTTTCCTATTGAAAATGTCATCTAGGAATTAAGTTGTAAGGCTCTTTTAAATATACTTTTGTGTATAATACATATAGGTAGATAGGATTTTTATGTTCTAATTTGAGGAAGTATATATACCTCTCTGACAAAACCTGCCTTGGTCTCTGCATCGCTCCTTCATACACAGAGATAATTTAACCAGAGGTAGGTTAAATACAGATGTTCTTTATGATTTTCATTTTTATGCTTTTGGTTTGGATAAGGATACGATTGGATTCTTCATTAGTGAAACTGGGCTTGAGATGACCTCGCAGAACTTCTTGCAGAGGTCCTCACAGTAAGATGAAACTGTGAGAACTGATGAAACCTTGCAGAAATGTACTGTTACCTGCGGTAGAAACATGTGGTCCATGCATTACGTATGAAATGCATTGGGAAATATGAAGTGATAATAAAATCTGACTCTTGAGTTATAATCTACGCTACCTGCCCTTAGAGAGTAGTAGGGGGAAAAAAGTAATAAAATACTATAGTTTGTATTTTAATAGCCTTGTGCACAGCATTGTCAATCTTGCTACAATTACAAAATACAGTTTAGTGTAGAACAATTTAGAAATAAAGCTTTACTGTTGGAATGGCAAAACCAGATTGTACTTTGATTATTTTGCTGTAGTTGAAAAATAAAACTCATGAAAGCATAAATATTTTCTGTAATAGATTCAAGGATATCTAGCTCACATTTATACATAATCCTGTGAAACTTTGATACTTCTGTTTCTCTAAAAGCTAAGTCCTAAGTGCAGCACCAAAGTATTTCCCTATTTTCTGTTTAGAAAGAAAATGACTAGCAGAGTAAACAGTTTCAGTGAAAGTTTGAAACCCTGTGTTAGTGTATTGATCATATTTGCTTTCCAGCCTAAGAAACTGGCCGCCTATGACCATCAACAGTTAAAAGTTTTCAAAATAATATGGAGAAAATTCAAGATTGTCTTAGAAAAAAACTTTATTATCCCCCTCTTTTGAAATATCTGGACTCTTACACTTTTCTCCATTTATGTAATATTTAACAAATAGCTGATGATGGTATAGAGGCTTTGTTTTCTCTTCTACACTTGTCTTCTTTCATCTTCAAGAGTTGTAGCCTGTTTCCCCTGTAGCTATTCCCTCATTTTTTACCCTAGGCTCTTGTTTGTCACTTTTTGTCCCTAAAAATAAATGTTTAAAATCACTACTTCATTCATGAAAGCTTATGAAATTGAGATCACTTCAGCAAAATCCTGTTCAGCTTGAATATTTTTCCTAGAGCCTGTACGATTGGTGTCGAATATGAAAGAGTATGTGCAAACTGACCTAAGTTTCATAGCTTTTCTGGAGCGGGGTGGTGGGAAACCATCTCAGTGGTAGAGCCTGATGGAAGGGTGTGATTGGATCTTACTTGTTCTCACAGTCAGGTTATGTAAAAAGTCAACGTGAATATTTATCCCTTTTAAATTTCAAAAATACTTCTCTGTTAACTTCAGTGTTTAATGTGCACAGAAACCTGAAATTCCTCGGAACTGACTGATGAAACTTGTCTGGTTTGATCTTCGAGAGGAAAGAAATGAGAGAATGTCAGTGAATAATGTAAAAGATTGCAGTGTGTTACTGTATTGGCCTCTGTGCCAAGGTAAAGAACAGAAGCCCAGCCTTGCGGAACTCTTAGACTAAAGATAATCAATTAGGTACAGAACTACACAGGTATTATCAACCTAGACTTTACATGCCTTAACTATAGCAAGGTAGTGAGAATGAAGGTTCAACTGTAAGTCAGCTTTGAGCATTCAGTAACTGTCCATTCCAGGTGTTTTATGATGTTTATATTAACTGTGGATGCTTGTATAATTCTCCTAATTGTAACATGGCCTTAGAAAGTTGGGAGACGGATCCTCTTGGTTGCTGGTCCCTTTGCTTTGAACAGTCTGCTCCTGAGCTGACCTTTTTGTGTAAGTCTTCTACAGCTAATGGCACAAAATAGGCCTGGAATTGCTACTGTCCTGCAGACTGGAAGGCAGCAAGAACCATTAGAGAGTGCCAGGTGCTCAGCCTGGGCACACTTTTTGCAGGACAAACTTACAGGTTTGGGGTTTAAGTGATTTAGGACTCCTGCATACATTTTTCATGCTTCTTTATCAGAATATCTTTGCCATTGGGAGCTGTGCTCTTTATAGAGAATTGCACGTGTGGTTATATGTAACATATCGACAGTCTTTTTGGTGCTTCCTATAGAGAGAAGAAAGCTCAATACATTTAATTGAAGATACATTAGACAGAAAAGATGTTATTAAAAAAAAAAAAAAAGAGGGAGAGTGAGATGGCCAGGAGCCTATGAAGTGTCTCAAATGAAAAGAAGACCCAAAACTTTGAGTGGGTTGCTTATTTATTAAGTTCCTTAAAATGAAAGACAAAAGACCAGCAGATTTTTGCAAAAGGCTTTCTGTATGACTTTATTTCTTACATAGAAAGGAGTGTTGCGGGGAAGGCTAGGCTGACAAAATAATTGAAGCAGCTGCTAATAGCATTTTAAATTTCAGACTGATTTTATCAGAAAAGTATTTCTGCATAGGTTATTAATAAGCAGTTGAACCATAAGCAGTTGAAGCATAAACACTTCGTATTTTTTAGGTTTTGTAACATAATTCTTGCTTAAATATCTTGTGAGATTAGTAAATCTGTCCAAGGCCCTTTATGCAATTATCTGAAATGTTGAAGAAATGGGGAAAGGGAAATAGATTTGAGGAATCCAAATCAACATTGTAGTTGTCTCATGTCTCAGCAGGGAATACACAAGCATCCCGAACTTCAGAATTAAATCTGTTTCTCTGGTTGGTAACAGGTACCTGAAGGCTTCGTTTATGTTGCAGCTTGGCTAGGGTACTCCCACAGCAAAGATTTCTCTTCGTACAAAATTCTGAAAGCCAGAGACAGAATTGGTAAATCACAGTTCGCTGTCTTCCTGGCCTGCCAAAAGAACATTCTTTAGTTTCAGTGTTGTGTATTACATTGTGTGAAATTAATGGCATGTGATGAGCTCTGAATTCAATGAGCAGAGAAAGTTTGTATCTGTGCTGCACTGGGGTAGTTTAGAAACTGTGGCCCCTGAGAAATGTTTTGAAATGATAAATGTTGGTGTTTTTGTGGGTTAGATGAAGTAAATGCAGAAAATAAGAAGCAAATTAAGAAGAAGAAAAAAAAAAATCTTAGCATTTGATTCTCAAAACTTCTTCAGTAGTATTTGGCACTGGAAACACTTCCTAGCTGGTGTCTGAGCTTTTTTTGTTGTGTTCTGTACCGTTAAAGGGGAAAAATCCTATTGCCTTGAGTGACACAGGTGGCAAAGCAGTGAGGAGTCTGCTGACCTAAATTGCGGTCACAGATCCGCAGTGGGAATCGTATCTGTGCTGCCTGCTTTGTTGCCAAGAATGGGTGTACCAAGTGAAGGCGTTTGTGTGGTTTTGTTACTAATTTAGAAACCACAAGCAAGATTTTTATGGCTTTATAAACAGAGCATTTTTGAAAGTGCTTGATGTTTTCCAAAATGTGCAACGGCTTCTGAGCTTTGTCAGAAATGCAGTAAGATTGCTGATTGCTTTCCATTAAATACAAGTTCCTTAAAACTTTCTACTTTGAGGATTATACGAGCACCTTTGATTTCTAAATTCAAAATTACCATGGAAAAATTATACTTTTAAAGGCCCTCAGCCTTTAAGATTCTCCCAGAAAGCCAGTATCTGTGTGAATGCTTGAGAGTCTGCTCCAGTCTGAAAACGAGGGCTTCCTTGTTTTGTATTCTCTGTGTTCGTTGTGAGTATCTCTATCAGCAAAAGATCAGAGAAGGAGAATGATCTTACACGTGTTAAATAATCGTGAAGTAAATTGGACTGATATGATTTTTATTTTGAAAGAGGAAACGACTCCTTTTCTGTTGCGGTTTACAAATATTTAAATGCTTAAACTAATTGTCAGCCTCAATTTTGAATGAGGAAGCAAAATAAAATGCATGATTTGTTCAGAGTTTCGCATAGTACTTGCCAGGAGAAACCAAGTTTTGACAACAGTTGGCCTGCTTTCAGGCACAGATTTTAATGAGATTAAAAGAGAAAGAATGTGCAAGTTTGATTAGAAAGTTTAGCCATGTTCTCAGAATGGGTCCTGGAAGCCAGGACAGAAAAATGTTGTGTTTTTTAGTGGTAGAATTGATTTGTTTTGGAAAATGAAAAGGAGGAGGCAGTGGGCAGCTGTCAGATAATTACAGTGAAGCATACTGAGTTAGTGTGAGAATCTATACTGTTGTTCACAGATTGCAGGAGATCTGAAAGGCAGTTCCAGTGACCCAGATGTTTTCTCCTTGACTTTTAAGTTTTTCAGCTGGTTATTGGCCAGCAATAATTTAACCAAGGATTTTGCGGGTTGTGTATTTTATAGCAGCCTAATTTGAAAACAGAAGTTAACACAATAGTCCTCCCTTTTCCTCGTGTTAGGGCTTTTCCTACAGTTGAGATGGAGATCAGTTAGAGCATGCTCGAACTTGGCAAGGTGGAGAGCACGGTGCATTGCAGAATGTGTCAGGAGGTCTGGTGCATGAGAAAAGATCGATTTACTGATAGGCATACGCCCAGCACAGGATTAAGGAATAGATTTGAAAATAAATATGTAAATTAAGAACTAAAATTGTTTTTAAGAAGTCTCTTTTGAGTATACACATGTACTGTGTCAGCCTCGTATCAACATGTTTTATCAGTAAGTAACAGAGATGGTGGAAGGAAGGCATGGTGTTGTGGGCGGTGGGGGAGGTCAGCTTGTGAACACCATTTTAAATGACCTGGAGTATAAAAGGGCTTGAGAATCGCTGAGATAGTATAAAGGCAAAAAACAAGGTCTTTTGGTCCTTATAACAATGTTTGAAAGGCTGTTTTCTTTCTCATTTAACATGCAGCAAGGACATATGGGAGAAGGCGAGGTAACAATATTCCTATTTAATTTTCTAATGTTGACAATGTCTCATGGGAGAAATAACATTAAGTTGTTACTAGAGGGCAAACACCAAAATTTATGATTATAAAGAATCAGTTTCACATCAGTTTACATAGTCTGCATGCCATAAATGAAGATTTTAACTGAATTAGGTAGTACTCCACAGTAGTACTATTGAGGCTGAAATTATCACAGTCCTTACAGTGGACATCACCTATGTGATTTGTTACACTGCAGGGCTATGTTGCTGTGTTTGCGTGTATGTTATGAATGCCAATGCTGGGGAAGTTTATTTTGGTTCTTTTGGGTGCTGATGGTTTTCTTGACGCAGCATAGATTATAGTGAATATATGTCCTGGCCGGCTAGGTTAAAGAACCAGATCCTGCAAGCATGCATGTTGAATTATCTAGCAGCAGTGGTAATGCTGATGAACCTGAAAAATTGTTTAGGTAAGGAGAATTGCTCCCTTCCAACAATACCTGCAGGATTGGGGTCTTAAGAGATAAAACAAATGACAAGTGCATCAGGTCGTTAAGGGAAAACAAAGTAACATTTAAGTCGATATTACAATATTTTTATCACAGTAGGAACCAGGTTTGCCTAGCTACAGAAATAGGCCTGATTATAGTTGATTTTCATTTTAATCAAAGGTCTACAAAGATTCTTGAAATTTCAAATAAAGCAAGCTGACCAAGCCATCAATTTTTTATTCCTATAAATTCTGTGGACTGTGGATTTTATTGTATTTTTTTTTCTTTCAACTTGCTAGCTATTTGATTTTTGCATGGAAAATGTCTGGATATTGGAACTGGTCAAATTTTCTGTTTTCAAGTTGTTTTCTTTTTTTTAAAACAAATTTATTTCAAAGGAAGGAAGCAAGAGCATGATAAATTAATCTTACCAATACATTACTGTGACAGATGGTAATGAATTCTGAAAAAGCAGACATAGTAAATTGCATCATAGGCGAAAGGAATTGTATCCTAAAACTTGTAGCACACCTCATTTATTTGTTTACTTTCCCTATATATGTTTGTTTATTCCTAAAATACTCCTTAAATGAGTAGCAGTCTATTCAGTTTGTTGTTTAGATACTGAATACTGTAACTAAAGAGTGAATTCACTGAAGAGATCAGCTTGTGTGCTCTATTTATATTATACAGTTGCATTTATAAATCAAAGAATCTTATTTACAAGTAAGAAATATTAATAAGGAAATCTATGATAAAGGATTATCATAGAGGAATTGGGCTGTGAAGGGAAGCATGCTTACAACATTTTCTCTTAGAGTGAGTCCATTAACGAAACTCTGTTGTAACATTTAAGTAAATTTGCTTGTAGGAATGACACAATATTGCCTAGTTTTCAGTCTTCATTTGCAGTAAATTTCAGTCTTCCTGTTTTTATCAGGTTTTTTTGTTACTTACAAGGGGGTGATTTATGATATATTTTTATATCAGGTGATTTAAATGTGTAATATATATATAGCTGGAAGGATTCTTGTTTTCCCATCTGCAGTGTGAAATTGTATCTACTTATTGTAAGAAGCTGCTTACTAGAAAATTATATATAAGCTTAGGTTTTAGTGATGTCTGCTACTGGGAAAGTCCCAGAAAAAATTGACTTATATTCTCTCCTATTTTTACACCTTTTTAAAAGAAATCTAATTGGAAACATGAAATATTATGGGAAATGGTCAACTTGAGTATCCATTAGAAATACTGTTTTGTTTCAAATTTTCAGTAGTGGTAGCGCAAATGCAGTTACGAAGAAGGTAACAGCCTTTTCTCTGAAATAGTGCATTTGAGTTACTGAATATTGATATTGAAAACTATAATTTTGATATTGAAAACTATAAGGGTCATATGAAATTGAGAACATACCTGCTTAGTAAAAGGGAAGATTGCAAACAGTTCTACTGCTAATGCAGCACCTAGTGCTTTTTAAAAAAATATTGAAACAGTGTGTGCTTTGTTCTGTTAGTATGTTTTTTTCCTTCTCTTTTTTTTCTAACCCCCTCTTCAGGTCAGTCTTCACTGTTTCCAATGGAAGACGGGTTCTTGGATGATGGACGTGGGGATCAGACTCTTCACAGTGGTTTAGGATCACCTCACTGCTTCTCCCATCAGAACGGAGAAAGAGTGGAGCGGTATTCCCGTAAAGTCTTTGTTGGCGGACTGCCACCAGATATTGATGAAGGTATGCCCAGAAAATCTTGCCCAAAAAAAGCTCCTTCTGGCTCAATGACAAAACTGTGGTGTGAAACCTTTTGTCTGTTAGCTAATGAGTGTTTGTTTTCTGAACTCTATGGAAAAGCTTTGATGTGTAAATGAGTCTTTGCATGTTACCATTTTCAGTTCACAGCAAAGTAGTGTAGTCTATAGCATTGTTCTGCCATTGAAGAATGATATTACCACACATTTAACTGACTTTTACAGTATAAAAAATATGAAAAAGGGATAATGGTGCAAAAATAAACCAGTAAATATCACCTGTTGAAACTCATAAATACATTGCAATCATTTTATAGACACCAGAAGCCAGTACTAGGAAAAGTATTGCTAGTAGTTTTATAAAGTTTGTATAGCATAGTAAGTCCTAGCTCTTTATTTGGATGCTTATGTGTGGTCCTCAGAGGTTGTTTTCAGCCATGGTTATGTGGTAGCTTCTAATGTGTGCATGGTAAGGACTCAGACAGGAATGAATCTGTACAGAGGCAGTTGGATACAGTGACCAGGCATTTGTGACAGGTCCATCATACAGACCAAGGTGACAAAATACTGCAGTTGTTACTAAAAAAACCAAACCTCAAACTATATATATCAAGTGTTGTGAAGCTTCCTTTCACTAGAGTTCTGTATTCTGTACGTGTAAGCATGCTGGGATAGTGGTTACAACTGTAAATCTGAAAAGTTGCTTTTTCTTAATCACAGAATCGTTTTAATACCCACTTTTTGTGTCAGGGAGAGTGATTGTAATGCACTGCAGTACTACTGTGAACTGACAAGCTGACTTTCTTGTCAAACATAAGAGCTACTTTATTATTAAAAGGTCAAATACAACACGGCATTTACAAGAGCAAAAATTATCTTATAACCTCTCTTTCTTTGTTATTTGGGTTCTATTTGTTTAACTTTGTCACCTTTGTTGTTTAAAAAGCAGATGAGCACATGAATAGTTTGGTCTCTGTGGACCCTAGTTATTGAAGAATAGGACCTTTCCTAAACCTGTACTGGGAGGGTAGCTTGAATTTTTCAGAGTTGCTTCTGTCAGCACTCTTCCTGTTAAATGCACAAGTGTGAATTAGAATGACCATACAATTTAAAATCTACATCACAGCTGGATTTTTGAGGTATTTCTGATGCTGTTTCTAGAAAGCATTTTATCTATGTGCTTTAACGTTAAATTTTTGTGAAGTGCTGTTCTGAACAGAGATCTCTTTTAAGAATAGATACATAGTAAGTATTGTTCTCCTTGGTTTGTATCTTCATCAGCATGTAACCTTGGTGCATTACCATTGCTGTATACGTTCATGGTGATCTGTAGTGCACAGAGAAGCTGTCAGTACAGTGGATTGTCAGTTACTATTTCATTAGCAATGTCATCAGAGAGTGTAAACAAACTGAAAAAGACATAATTAGTAACAACTTTTGAGATTTCTAAACGAATGTGAAGATAGGGAAAATCCTCTAAATTGTGTATTAGGAACCCCTGTGTGCTAGTATAGAAAGCCCTGTAGCAATATAAACAGAATACAGCTGAGCAGTGTACCAATTTAGACAATGCTCCAGCAATGTGAAGTTTATTCTTTTTGTTTCAATTTTTTAACGAAAAATTATTGTCCAGAGACCTTTAACTGGCGATGGTTCAACTGTGTTTGTGGGGAAGGAAAAGGGAATAATCACTCAATTTCAAGAACAGAATTGCAACTAGAAGACTTCTGTGGGACTAGCATGTGCACATTTATATCAGTAATTTGAGGTCAAAGGCAGAATTGAAATGGATGCAAGAATTGCTTCTTGATATAGTAATATGTTCTTGCCATCTTTCCTGTAAAATTACATAACTATGTCCTCCAAGCTTACTCTGTTAGTTTGAGGTCAAGCTTAGTGTTTGCACATGTGGCACTGGCATGTGATATGAACAGATATGACTGGGTCTTTGTGATAGTCCCTTCATTTTTTTCCAGTCTTTCTGCAATTATAAGGCAAATTGGCAGAGGAGATTGCTTACTAGGAAGTCAGCAAATTGTCTCTAAACAATTTGTGGGAGAATAGTTGAAGCTGGGTTATTATAGCTGTATAGATGCAGTGCCTCCATTTCTTCGAATTAGTGGGTTATGAGCTTTTATTTATAATCATCAGTAGAAAGAAAAGCTTGATCTTTGACTCGTCTTGTTTTCTAATGTGTTTTCTGCCTTGTCATAAAGATTCCCCATCAGCTAGTATGCCTTTCTATGAGCTGCTACAGAGGATGTTTATTTATAGGATGAAGCAACCTGAGGTCAGTGTTCTTCAAATGTCTTCCATTCAATTTATTTTAATTTAAATTTGTACCTTTTCCCTTCTGTCTTTAGATGAGATCACTGCTAGTTTTCGTCGGTTTGGACCTTTGATTGTAGACTGGCCACACAAGGCAGAGAGCAAATCTTATTTTCCTCCTAAAGGTAAGTATCTGACAACCAATAACATATGAGCATTTTAGAATATTTTTTCTAGGTAAGACTCCATTGTAGGCAAGATTTTTGTGACAATGACCCAATGTTTAGGGGGAAAAAAAGTTGAATCCTTGGGATTGTTATAAACTGCTGGAGTTTAGAATGTGGCTTTGCAATTATTCTACACTGAAAGAATTCTTCCTTAACTTCCTATTTTTACTTTATTCCATTTTCCTTTTTCTCCCCTGTTGTTACTCATTTTTGTAATAACAGACAAGACTAGTCCTCTTTAAAGGGACTTAATGCCCTCCACAGAAGCTGTGAAGAGTTTGGACCCTGTATTAAGAACCATCCTGGCAGGTTTGCCTCTACACCTGTGACTTTTGTTCAGTTCATGCTGCTGGCTTATCCTTTTCAAATGAAATGGGGAGAGACTGTGCTGATCAGCAAGCTCCCTGCTTTCCTTCATGTCTCCACAGAGGACTTGCAGGAGGCTGGGTTGGAAACATGTGAGAGCATCTTAGAGTTTGTGCCTTGCTGTATGGTAGCATGATGACACAGTGCCAAGCATAATTCTGGGCTAAATTATTATCTTATAGGCAAATAGACAAAAGAAGTCATGTGCTTGTTTTCCCTTTTGTAGGATATGCGTTTTTGCTGTTCCAAGACGAAAGCTCTGTACAGGCGCTGATTGATGCATGTATTGAAGAAGATGGAAAGCTCTATCTTTGTGTTTCCAGCCCCACTATCAAAGACAAACCGGTAGGTAGAATTGTTAGGGCCTGCACAGCTCATTTATGTTAATCAAAAATTGTTCTCTTCAGATGCCTTTTTTCCTTTTTTCTTTCTTTAGAGTGTGAAAGTTTAAGTTTCTTTAAGGTGTCAAATTAAATTCTCAAAGAGAAGACCATTGTACTTATTTTCAAATGAGACATGATGAAGTTTTTTAGTCTAGTTTCAATTCATATTTTTATTAGATAAAGGTTTGCTAAATTTCACCATTGCTGATGTAATAAATATATAACCAGACAGGTATTTTATGCTTATTATTGAACAAAATGTAGAATTCATATTGTCTTGAGTGTTGCATGTAACGTGTTTGGACAGAGACAAATTAAATCCAAAAAAACCCATAATATGGCATTGAACTGTAAATTATTAGTATAAATAGTTTTGGGGCTGATGCAAGTCTGCTTATAGTTGGAGAGACTTCTGCTATATTCTTGTACTTTAAATTTGGCCAGCTGTAAGCAAATATAAAGCAGCTAGTTTTGCATAGTAAATATGCAGCTTTGCACACTGGAGCCTGTTGCACGGAGATAACGCTAGTCTAGGGCTCACACTTAGCTAGAAAAACACGACTAGCATAGATACGTATGCACCAGCGTGGTTTGTACAGCACAGTTCAGTCATGATTAAGTAAATGTGTAAGTAGAGGGTGAGTGTTTTCCCAGAAATTTGGGTAACAAGGAAGTGGTGAAATTGAGTATGATCAAGTGGTCTGTCTTAACAGAGCTTATTACCATTTCATTTTGAGAAATGATTACTGAATGAATAGAAAATGAGTTTAGAAAGTGCAGCTGTTTAAAAGTTTTTATTCTTTGTAGGGTACTGTTTTAATTTGTATTTCTGAGATACTTTGAATTGTGAATGGTTAAAAAAAAAAAGGCTTTTTGTCCATAGGTTCAGATCCGGCCTTGGAACCTTAGTGACAGTGATTTTGTTATGGATGGTTCACAGCCTCTTGACCCACGAAAAACCATTTTTGTTGGTGGTGTTCCTCGGCCTTTACGAGCAGGTACACTGTGTGTTCTGCAGCACTGGGCATGTTGAATATGCAGTCTGATTTGGGGAGCAACGGGGGAAACAAATTGTTTTGGCAAGGGAAGTATTAAGTGTTCTTGACACTTATAGTGGGGGACATGAATACAAATGGACTGTTTCATTTGATGCTTTTAGAAAAAATTACCAAGTCTACACCACTGTTCTGTTTTCCTTTCTGGTTTAGTGGAACTTGCAATGATAATGGATCGGCTGTATGGAGGGGTGTGCTATGCTGGAATTGACACAGACCCTGAGCTGAAGTACCCAAAAGGAGCTGGGCGGGTTGCATTTTCTAATCAACAGAGTTACATAGCTGCTATCAGTGCTCGCTTTGTTCAGCTGCAGCATGGAGAGATAGATAAACGGGTAAGGTCTTCAAGCATATTCTATTTTTGTTCTCCGCTTTCTCTAGAAATGCTTTTCCATGTAAAATGAGTGCCATTGTGAAGACTGTAAATGTTATATCAGATTAATTGCATATTTAGGGCTAGATTGTGCCACTTAGATACAACACAGAATAAAAAATGAAGGAGTGGTACAGAGCTTTTGCTTCTGGAACGTGGGAGGCAACTGTGAAGCAGACTTTCTCAAATTGCTTAGCATAATGAGAAGCATGTCAGCTGCCTTGCCCTTTTATAAGAATATTGCACTCATCATATACTCCCACTGCAAGTATTTGCACTTGTAGTGTGTGTAATGTCAGGGAGTAAGATATCTGCCGCGGATGGAGAGTTCTTACTCCTGTACTGCATCTTTTGAGAGAGTGGGCAGAATCTGGCCCTGGTGTTAGACATTGTGTACTGGGTGTTCCTAAAGAGCATCATAGTAATGCATTGTAAACTTGTTAGAGTGCATTACAGCCTCACAGTCATCCTTCACAGCTTACAGAAAGGCTGTGTCTGGTTATTTTATTCCTTTATTATTGTAAATTAAAGGAATATGCCAGATGGATCTGCACTTTGCTTGCATCTGCCCTCTCATCTATATAAAATGTGACTTTGCCAATTACAGTGATTTTCAGGCCACAGTTTTGAGAAACTCAGATCCTTACATCTACCATTCTGTCTAATTCATGCCTTGTCTCTGTATTTTTTTTTTTTACATGACTGTCATTATTGATCTTAATGTTATAATTACTACAGAGGAAAACTCCCAAACTTGGCTGATTATCATTTCACTTCTGCTTTGGCTATAAAGCTTGGGTAGAAGAATTGTAACAACAATTTGACTGTGGGCCTGTGAATTGGAATGTCTTTGTTCTAATCTTGGCTCTGAAATAAGTTCTGTACGGCTTTGAACAAATAATTTGGGCCGCCCTTGTGCAACTTCTGCTTGCATAAGCAGCCACTTGGGTGAATAGGTCCATTGAAGCTGGTGGGACTACAAATTTATGTAAGTACTTGTGAACTCTAGCAAAGATTTTGCAATCTATTTCCCCTTCCTTCTCTCCTCCCGCTCCTCCTTATTTCCCTATTTTGTGTGTAGTTCAGAAGAAATGTGGGGAGATAAGTGCTCAGAGGATTCATTGTAAGAGGGGTTGCGTGCAACAGTGGCAATAATACTTTTATTAATAAGGTACTATTTATTAGTAATTTTTTCTAATTAAGTTTTTCTATAAAAACAAAATTAGTAACAAGAAGGGATTTCCTGTAAAATTAAGCAAGGTGCTACTAAAGGGTGTGCCCTTCAAAGAGATAATGCAAATTAAATGCTCAGTGGCCTGAAGCACCCACCATTGCAGAGCTTCTGATGAGTGCTGCCACCCTAAGCATGCCTGATGAAGTTGCTGTAATTTAAGCTGTTTCTCTGCAGTTGGGAAACCTCAATATAACTAGCACAAGTAATCATTGCAGGCTATATTTGGCAAGTGCATTTCAGCACACAGTGAATACATGTGCTGAGGACTCTGATTAATATCTGTGGATTGCAAACTTGCACAAAAAGCAGTGCCACAGTAACAGGCTAAAGCAAGCAGAGGTATGGTTACCTGTGCTGTAGCTTGGCCTCTGAATATGTCTGAGTAGAAATAAGAGAGCAAGAGAGTTGCCACGTTGAGGAGGCCTGTGTAGTTTATTTGTAGGTTCTTCTCTTAGCACTTGTAGGAGACAACACTCATCTAGGAATATCAACCCCAAACTACACACCAAACTAGGTGATGAAGGTATAATGTGGTGTTAGGAATATTTGTCTGCCTTTGCACTTTTACAAATGCATTCTTCTGAGTTGGCATGGAGGGGTGTTTGAGAAACGCAGCTCTGGCTGTGGAAGAGGAGAAAAACTGAGGCTAAAAAAAAAAAAGGCTGCTGTACTGTCTCCAAGTACTTTATATGTACTGTAAGCACAAATGACATCAAACTACTTCAGTGCCCTGTCAGGCCTGTGATGAAATTGGGTAAGTTTAAAAACAGAGGAACTTGTGAATGTCCTTATTTGAATGAGCTGGCATGCCTCTCAGGCTTGTGAGACACAGAAAGGACCATTCCTAAGCCAGATGCAGAGATAACAGGTTAACAGCAGAGACACCGGTTGCAGTCTGGATGTTTGGAAATGTTTGTGAAAACATGTAATCAAATGAGCTTCAGAGAAGGCTCACAAACGCTTCTAGAACAGGAACTTGTATCTGTACTTATCTAACGTGAAGTTTTGTGTTGTGCTTCTAATATGTCACAGACCTGTCACAGTTCTGTGGAGCAACGAATGGAGGTGATTACTAGTTTTGAGGTGAATCTGAGCCTTTAGGGGATGGCAGTGCTGCATTTGTGATTTAAACACATAGGCATGTCTAAGCTGAGCTGTAGCCAGCTTGGGTACTGTGAGCAGCAAGCTTTGCTTTGCTGTCACAGAGAAAGTGCTCTCTGAGCAGGGTTTTGTAGCCCGAGCTGAGCTGTAGCCAGCTTGGATACTGTGAGCAGCAAGCTTTGCTTTGCTGTCACAGAGAAAGTGCTCTCTGAGCAGGGTTTTGTAGCCCACAGTACAGCAGACATGGTTTTGGTGTGCAAACACCTAGATTAAAAGCTAGTAGTCTGCAGATGCTGCAGTGTAGATGTATCCTTGGAGCACCAGCTGGTAAGTTCCTGTGAGTCATTATCAGTTAAGAAAGTAAAGAAGTTTTTCTTCTCCTTTCTTGTCTGCTGTACTGAATTACTGCTTATCACCTGGCCCCTAATGTCAGCAGTGTAGGTGGCCATCTGTCCTTTTTTAGGCTTCTCACTGGATCCCAAAAAGATAGGTGGGTTCCCTTTTGCTGAGAGGACTGAGCTACAGAAAAGAAAACAGAAATGTGCTGTTCATTGGTGATGATAAATGAAATTTTTTAAAGTTGGGAATTCAGCCACTGAAATTTGCAGACCATGTGCATATTTTAATCTGCAGTTACAGTGTTGTGTAAACAGTTTACATTCCTACCTGAAAGGGTGGGTAGGAGCTTAATTGTGCATCACCATACTTAAAAATAAACCCCCAGAATTCTCCACGGTTTTGATGTGAATCTGTGTATCAGTTTTGCAGCGATGGGTTGATTGGACCTTTCTGTAAATCAGTGACAGCATGTGTGACACTGATGGTCAGCATTGGTTTCTGGGGTGTTTTTAAAGATCAAGGAGGAGTATTCTCAAGTTAAGTGCCTCTAGTTTTGGGTGTCTAATGGCTATGATCAAGTGTAATGAGGGGAAACATCCTTGAGTGTAGTGTCCCCTACTATAGAACTTTGATTGCAGTCCTGCTAGAACACAGGTAGTAAATAGTGTGGAATTGTCATTATCTACATTGTTATTAAGAATTGTAAACTTTCTTCTCGTTTTCTGAATACAGGTGGAAGTTAAGCCATATGTCTTGGATGATCAGCTTTGTGATGAATGTCAGGGGGCCCGTTGCGGTGGAAAATTTGCTCCATTTTTCTGTGCTAATGTTACCTGTCTGCAGTATTACTGTGAATATTGCTGGGCTGCTATCCATTCACGCGCTGGCAGGGAATTCCACAAGCCCCTGGTGAAGGAGGGAGGAGATCGCCCAAGACATATTTCATTCCGCTGGAACTAAATGATCACTGCAGTGCTCATATGCAGGCCTCAAATTAAGTGCACTCTTCTGTTATCCTGATTGTCCCTACCCCACCCTACCCTTTCTCTTATTCAAGATAGCATGTCCTTTTGTAGTAGTCTGTAATTTAACAATAGTATAATGAAAGAATGACCTATAATATGGGTATTTTGTAGAACCTTGTCATTGAAAACTGTATTGGGAACTCCTTTTCGTATTGATAACATGTTGCAAGTGAGTTGCATTCTCTTGTCTTTACTACGGAGAGAACACTTAATTTCATGCAACATTTTCTTAGAGGAGAGAAAAATATTAAGAAAAGAGAATTGAAACAATAGAGTATTTTGGTTTTTTAATTAAATTATTGTTAATAAAGAACGTAAGAATACTTTTATTAAAATAACCGTGTAACAATAACACTATCAGTCTGTTCTGACACTTTTCCCCCAGGGAAGCCTGTTTTTGCCTCTCTTTTTGTTTCAACTTTGGATTTTTCCAGCAACAGATGAAGTTAGCATTTACCTGCCAACAGGAAAGAGCATGTTTAAAGCAACAAAAATGCATGAGCAAAGTTGAAGCAGCATTATAATAATGATCTTTTTAAAAAATCTGTTAAGGGTTTTGAGGCTGAAATTTTAGCTCGGTGTGTATCTGACCATGCTTCTGACTACCACTCACATCCAAATTACTAATGAGATAGGCAGAGCTTACTATATTTTCATCAAAATGATTACATTTTAAGAATTCCTGAATGTAAAAGTTGAGTAAAGTTACTACTGAGGGGGGAGTGCATTTTTTTTTTTTTCTTTAAGAGAACTCAATTGTCTGGTTACAGCCCTAGAAATCCTACCAAAGCTAGAGTAATGACAACTAGTTAACTGGCATTTCCTCTCCTGAAGGATAAATATATAGATTTTATTTTTGATGGCTATATATAATTCTATATCCTAATCTACTAACATTCATCAGGGGCCAGCCTTTGCTCTCCATTTTGACGTGAAAAAGTAGAAAACCTAAAGATACCTCAAGGATATCACTGATTTTTACTGAAGTTTTGATACTCCATTGTGTCACACAAACTAAAATTGGCTGCTTATTCGTTTCCCATCTTGGATGTAAAGTTAGTTTTCAATACCCTCTAACTTAGTCGTAGCAGAAGGCATGAACCTAAGTAGTTTCCAAGTCTTGTTTTGCACTATTTTCTGAATTTGTGCGTGAAATGGTGCAAGCGTGCATATGCCTTTCTTACTCTTCTTGTAGAAAGAATCCCAACGAAGATTCCACCTCTTCAGAACTTAATGTGAGGAAATAAGGAAACACAGGTATTTGAAGTGCCAACATTGCTAAGTTAATGCCTGCTTTATTATAAATAAGTTCTACCTTGAGAAGCATTAACACAGTACATGTTAATTGAATGATAAAGAGTGGGTGCAGGGGTTTAGTTTGAAATAGTTGAATGAAGGAGTAGTTCTGAAAATTATTATTTGAACTAATGCCCTGGCCAACTTTGCAAATGATTATTTAGCAGTGTGCAAACAAACAAATTTAGTGGCAATCTTCTGAACTGCCTGAGTGGCACGGTACCATCCTAGATTCTCTCAAACCAAAGACTTGCCTCAGCACTGCTTGGGAAACATCTGCTCCGTTAAAAGCCTTTGTTGACCCCCCTCATCCTATTCCCTTACCCCAGACTATCTTTATGAGAAGCAGTTTTTATTTTCAATACAGGCTTTAATGAACTATACCTTACCAAGTTCCAAAGGTCAAAATGGAGACATTTGCTGTCTACTAGTCAAGTATAGAAAGGGAGCTGCTTTTAATGAAATCCCTGAAAATATTGACAACAGTAATGCAAATGCAGAGTGCTCTTGTGTAGATTGTCAGGGACTTTTTTTTCTCTGAAGTACATAATTATAGTTGGAATGTTCCTTTAATTTTTTTAATGCTTGTAGGTAGCTTGGGGTGTGCTATTGTGCCGATCCTACCCAGTAAACAGGTGAGATGGGTTACCATTACAAGAAATAACACTGTTTGAGAACTAGCTTTGAATAATAATTTTCCCTTTGTACATGACCTGCTGAATTTCGGTACAGTGTTTTTGTAGCTAACTTATTTTGTCATGCACATAATGTATATTTGTTATGCACTACTTTTGTATATCTTGTTTTTCCAACAGTGAGCATTTTTAGGCACACTTTTCACTGACGGGATATCTCTTTATGCAATACCTCAATTTTTCATATTGCAAAGAGTAGCTTTTTGTACTTTTATTACTGAGAGATCTTCATATACTTCATTTTTTAATATAAATAATTTTAATAAATTTTATTTTCTTATATTCTGCTTTTTATACATTTCAGTGCTCTGCATACATTTTGAATTATGGATGTTGTGCACTGGCAATGCTATTTTAGAATCTGCAGAGAAAAGAAAGCATGTTGCTTAAACATCTTAGCCCAGCACCAGGTATTTGGTGTACATATAATTTAAGAAATAGTATATGTAAAGTTGAGAATTAAAGAAGAAAAGCATGAAAGTGACAAATGACACTGTCTTTAGACCCATGAAATTTAAATGCATAAATATAGTGTAGAAATTTAAAAGTAAAGAAACATCAAAATTGTCTACCGCTTCTTACTAAGTTTTTAAAAATTATACACAAATGCAGACGTTTTTGGTGAATGTTTAGCCATTTTTAATATTAATAAAAAATTGATGTTAGGTGTTTGATGCAGAAATGTGTCTGCTCTTTTAAATTATATTTAAAGAATAAAAGAGAGCCTGCTAGGTGGCAGGCATGTAATGTTAGTATGCATGACTAATGTAAGAAATTGTTATTCTACTAATACTCACTTGTGATTGTGTGACAAGCGTGTTTACAGATTATTTGGTTACACTTCGATTTACAGGGCATAAACAATTATATACATTACTCTGTACTTAAATAGTGATGACATGTCCTTCTGATTACATGGGATTTGGAGTTGGGGTTACCATGTAGCTCCAGACATAATTAACATGTAATTGGGTTACCAGTCTTAGGGTATCACTTCAATTTGCAAAGGGGTTAATAAGCATGTAGTTTTATCACACTAGCATGGCACTGGCCATGTATTTACAATGTAGTTACAGAGTAATTACATGGTTATTTTTGCAATGTAAAATAAAGTGTTTCTGATTATTTTATATGTAAAGGAACCCCACTGCCCTGTGCTTTTTGGTATAGTATATACTTCTCCATACACAGACCTCTGCAGAATGCAAATTTAAAACTTGCAGTGAATGAATTTAGCGTTTTATAAGAATGCTGTTGGAAAGACTTGATAATTCACCCCTTTTGTTTTTGAAGAGTTAAAACCTTCTGTTAAAAGGTGATTTAAAACTTGAATGTGATGAATTGTGGCAAGTTAACTTCAAGTTATGTGCAATACCTATTTCAGACTTCTGGAAGATCTTTGCAGTGTAATTCTTTGTTTTTAATTGCAGACATTTAAAAATGTCATTTTCTACTGTTCTAGTAAATCCTCTTTCTTGCTGGTGTTTCTAAAGAAAAGAATCAGAAATCAATCTTTCTACTAATGTAAATTTGAGATTATTTTTAAAAAAATGGAATAAAAGGTTTTGGTCATTTGCTTTATTTTATTATCTTATTTTAAAGCTACTGTGATAGCATTGTAAGAATTGGGACAATATTGTATTCAACTGTTTTATTTTTTATATTTTTAAATTTTAAAGTATAATTAGTTTTTATAATTTTCATCAGATTTTTTTGTTATATTTTTTGGAAGTGAAACTTTTAGCAAGTGGGTGTCTAGTTTTTACTAATCCCTAATATGTTTTTCCCCCAGTGTATTGCTCATATTATCAGAAGGAAAAGTTATTTAAGTATGTCAGTTAATTGTACTACTTGGCTGAATTTCCATATAGTTTTTACTGTGTATGGGGAGGTTGTAGTATTTATTATAGCATTTTAAATAAGGGTAATTCATTTTTTATTAAAGTCATTTTCACGTTTAAGTTCATATTTTTGTATGTTCTACTCTAAGTTATATAACACAAGTTACTTTTTTTAAAGAGTTCATTTGTTGAAGTGCTAGTGAAAATTAATGTTATTAAATAGTTTGCAAATGACTATTTATACCAGTATGCATATAATTTTTAAATATTTGTAATGTGAGATGTTGAATGAATAAAACTTTTAACTCAATGTTTCTTCTTAACCTTTTCATTTTAAGCTTCCTGTAGAAACACGTTCCTTTGTGGCTGAAGCTCAGGGGGCTTGGGGAAGTGATTTTGATGAAATGTACAGCACACATCTGGCTATGTGATGTGTAAAGTGCTTTAGGTGAAGATCTGCAGTTCTGTTCTGGTCAAAACACGAAGCACAGTTTTGTGAGGGGTGTGTGTGAGGGTGGGTATAACCACTTGAGAGATGCCGAGTACCCTGAACGCTGCATTAAATTGGTACAAAATCAGTGTGCAGTGCTGCAGAAATGGAAGGGGCAATGTCTAGAGGGCTGGAGAACTGCTCTCTGTTGAATCGGGCTTTTTACTGCTAGTGTCCAGATGTTGTCTGTAGGGAATGTTGAATGCTAACTACTTAATTTTGTGCATTTGGTGCTTGTTGAGTATTCATTAGAAATCATGTGTAGCTTTGGAAAAGCCTTTCAGCAGCTTCAGCACTGATGTTCCTATTTTTTATACAGCCGTGAGCATATCAACGTCACCAAAGAATTGTGGTTGGATCACTTCTTTCTACGTAGTGCTCTCTGCATCTAATTCATAGGGACAAAGATGAAAACCAATACACAGCTGTGAAATCAAGCTAATTGGGCAGGTGACGTGTTCAGTGAGAAGAATACCACTGAGGCACATGTAATGCATCATGTATGTCGGAAACCACTGTGCAGCTGGGACAAAAAGATAACCAGACTAGGGCCAGAGCAGAGCCAAGCAAGGCGTGGACAGACAAGGATTCTTTTTCAATTGTCTCATGGTTGTGATCTGATACGAACAGAAGGAAGAAGTCTGGCATTTTAAAGAGCTCGCTAGTGTCAGCCTTTAATTTAAAATATCTAAATATGCAGTGTCTAAAAAGTCTTGTGAAGTGTTGCAACTTTATCTACCTGCCCTTCAAAGACTATTCAACAGGAACCATGCATAAAGGATTCAAGAGTTTTGCATCCTCAGTAGGTAGGAATTCCCCAAACTTTGTTGGTTTTCTTACTTTGATACAAACAGGTAAGCTTCAATGAAGTATAATTCTGATTGTTCTGGAAGTAGCTCTGCTAAGTAGGACTGTGAGTTGGAATACACAGAGTACCTTGTGAGGAAAAAATCTGCTGCCCAAAATACAGTACTGCAGTAGGAATCAAACTGTGCTCACTGCACTGACTGGCTCATTGCTGTTGGTGTCTGAGCTGCTAATCTCTTGTGCCATCATCTAAGGAATGGTGGTGTAAATGTTAAATAGAGATTGAGTATCGTTCTTTACTATGGGTGCTTCAGGAAATGCAGATCTTACAGAACTGAGCTGTAATGGGATTAGTTCTGCAAGATGCTAATCGCTTCAGTTCCCACTGGCTTCAGA